GAGAATACCAATATTATGCCAATATTCAAAAATAGCATACGTTGTTATTTATAGGCCTTGGCAATTTGGAGAAAAAATCCTAAGCCAACCTTTGACAAGAAGGGATGGTTCTGCTGCCTTGGACCAAAGGCTGAGTTATCCAAGGACCCTGCTCTGACAGTGGCTCATAACAGCAACACAGGGAAGCACAAACCCAAAGCAAACCTTTAACGCTTCCCCTGGTATATTCCACTGACAACAGCAGAAAATTAGAAAAGAGATGGGAGTGACTCAAAGGTTAATTTCATAATTATGCAGCACTAAGGCTGTTAATAAACCTACTCAGCACACACTTGGAGGCACAAGAGGGACTGCTCTGTGAAAACTTCCTACCTGGATGAGTAAATAAGTGAAGTGAGACAGCAAATGATTCTCCAACAGGCAAATGTTTGGGTAAATATTTGCACAGATAAGGTGTTGAGAGGGACATTTCATTGTCAAGTTCTAAACACCCATGAACTCTTGAATCCACTCTTCCCAGCCCTAGACACACATCCCTGCTGTGAGTGTCCAGGAAGGAAGGAATCAGAATCATGGAATCAGACTCTTGTTCATGCTGTCATTATGTCCATACCTGGCCTGGTGCAACTCATCTTTCTCTTGTTTAAGGAGCAAAGCTTCTATTTCACATCCTTCCAAACTTGCTATTTACAGAGATTTATGACTAGACCTTATTTGATGCCCCACACATTCCAGAAATATCAGTTACAGGAGACTGGAATATTGTAAAAAAATTGAACATGTAACACAGTAGTATAGACCAATTTGTTTTATTCTTTTTCCTTTTCTGTGTGATTTTGTATTTCTCTTACACACTCAATAGGGCAAATACAACACAATTTTAAATCAACTGTCTCAATGGCATTTTACTAAGACCAGAAATGAAATTTATGCATTTATCATCTAGGATTTTATCTAGAATATGCCCAGACCTGGGACTCTGAGAAATCCTCCCTGCAGAGGCAGGTGAACAAAACAGGACCAGCACTGAGACCTGAGAAGCATGATCAAAGGAAAAGAAAAAGCCCCAAAATGGGGCTTTCTCTAACCTTGTACTGCCCTCAGCAATACTCCAGGAGCTAACAATAAAGTAAAATAAAGACACTAAAGGCACCAAAAGACAATGACAAGACAAAAAGCATTATGTGTTTAGGCATGAGGTTAGTAAGGATTCCCTTTTTAAGGAGTTTCTGAGTGGTTTCTCCTCTTTTTTCCAGGTGAGCCCTGCCTTTGTGGTTCAAGTCAGCATAGTTTTTGGAGGAGACATAACACTGTAATGTTAAGAATATGTACTGGTGAGGCTGGGAAAGTTCAAAAAACTACATTTGCAGACTACCTTCTTGTGAAGGATGGCAGTCCAGCTCCTGAGACATAAAGAGAAGCTCTGGAATTCCATCAGGAAGGAAAATGGTGCTACATAAGAGACATTATAGCTGCTGAAGTGAAAGCAAGTGAACAACAGCCTCCCCACAGTGACAGTGGTGGTGGCCAGCTGAGGAGAGGCCATTTGAGAAAACCAGATTATTTCTTCAGAGAAACAGGCACAAAATAATGTTCCTCCCAGAGAACAGGCTGAAATCACGTCTTCCATAACAATAATTAACTCAAATAGGGTTACCAGCAGTGCGAAATACTGAAGAAAAGAATTTTAAAAATAAGTATTCATCAACAGCAGTAATAAGGGGCACTTGTAAAGCCAGCTGAGCCACTGTCACTTTTCCTCTACCAGATGAGGAACCTGCAAAATGCAACGAGACCTTGACGATAAAGCCTTAGTATTAGTGCCATGTGGAAAGAAAAGTCCTATAATTTATGTTATTGCCACAAAAAGACATGCATAAATGGGAAGCTATTGCAGGGAGGAATTAATGAAACTGAAGAAGTGATTAAAAAATTCAGTCCAATTCCCCAAGGTCAAGTGTTGTTCAGAGAAAAGAAAAAAAATCACCTGCATAAATATAGAAACAACTGCCAAGCAGCTGCACTGTAGATAAGGATTGGGGATGGAGAGGATCAGAGACTGAGCACAAATTATAAATATCCAGTTGTCACAAACAAGGCAACTTCTGTCCATTGACAGGAATACAAATTCCTGATCCTCTCAGTTTTGGTGAAGCCTTTGGGAAAGTCCGCTTCTGGAAAGGCTTGTTGGGAATGTGAGAAACAACGCCCCAGAATGACAAGCAAAGGCAAAGAGGTCATCAGGTGAGCTCTGAGGGATGGGGGAGGTAACTCAGTCAGGTGGCTCAGTCTGGACAGAGTGAAATGAGAAGCTAAGAATGAGATATGATATGTTTCAACTAAATACAGAAACAGTTTCTGCAAAGAAAGAGAGAAGTCATAGTCCACATTTACAGTGAACAGGAAAAACAATGGACTCAAAGTGCAACCAGAAAAAATTACTTTGGCTGTGAGAAGAACTTTTCTAAATGGTAACCAGGGAAGCACCAGCGTAAGGAACTTGTTTCCTCTATTAAAAAGGAAACAACTAATTTCACAAAAAACTGTACAGCAATAGTGATATTGCTTTGATGCAAAAGATGAACTTTGGGAACCTCTGAGGGATCTTCTGTGAAGATATGGAAGCACTGAAAGCTTTGCAGCAACAGCACAAGCTGAAAAATTCCTCTGATCTTTTGTAGTGCAAGGTCTCATCAAATTAAATCATTCTATCTTTGCTACTGTTACACAACCCTTTTGAGGACTAATATTCAGATTTTCTACCAAAAAACCTACAGAAACTGCTGAAAGCCCATTAAGATAGCAGAACTCAAGTCATGAGACTGCCAGAATAAGGCTCTATATTTAGTACCAACAGTTTTCTCTGTAGTACTGTGATAAAGTTCCTTCAAGAAGAGTGGATCAGCTCTATGTAAATATTCTCAAGGCAAACAAAACCTGCTCAGCATCTTCCTCCCAGACCCATGTCTCTCATGAAGATTTCAGTAGGTTTTGCTTCAGAGCTCACTGCTTTTTTTTTTCCCCGCCCTCCCAAGAGACTTCTGCTCCCCCAGTGCTCACTGCAGACCCCGTAAGAGTCCTCTTGATCTGTGTGAGGTATCACGACGCAGAATTACTCAGAGTTCATGAGTTCTGACAGCACTTTAAATAGTTACTGTCATGATTAGCAGAATATTGGAGTTTAGAACACTGAACTTGTCAGCAGTGGGGGTTTGGTCCTTATTTTCAAGCGTAATATTGGACACCGCATTAGGATGGGGAAAGCACCCCAAAGGGGTCAGTGCACAGCGCCCCAAATATTTTCTGAATTAAATCACAGAACCCATCTTAAGGGACAATCAAAAGTTAAACAGACTTCACCCAAGGGGTTCCTCAAACTTCACCAATGTCCTAATACTCCAGCTCAAACCACCAGCTTTGCATTGCACAGGATTTGCCTATCCAGGGAAAACCAGCACCACATTAGTAAATTCAAGTCATGGCTAAGAGAGGCTGACTGAGAGCCATGTTCAAAAGCACATCAGCTGAAGCATTAACCCTGGGACCTTCCAGGGCTTTGCGGGAGTGTTTTATAACCTCCAGTCCTCTATAAATGTCACAGTCCCCCTTAGGGCCAGACCTCCCATCCTCAAGCCTCCTCTACTCACCACAGTCATACAGAGCACTCCCATATAGAGTGCCTTGCCTATTAACCACAAAAATCAGATAAATTAGAAGCAACAGTGTCGATGAAGCAACTGATGAATTGTCACTGATGAAGCAAGGACAGGGGTGGTTCAAGCAACTAATTGCTTTCACTGAGATGGAACCAGGTTCAAATCAAGGGAGAATTCAATTCTTCAGCAAAATACTTCACCTTAATTATAGCTCGTAGCAAGAGACAGCCAGAATCTAAATATATGGATGCTCTGCCTCTACAGCACCCACCACTCCTCACAGAATGGGTAAAAATTGACAGCTTTTATATTAAGAAACAAATCCCAAAATGTAGCTCCATCTCACATCTTCCTGCAATCCCACTCAGAGGTGGCTCAGGCACATCCTAAAATTATGTATCTGTAGCTTTCTCTTCATGAAGCATCTCTATACAACAAAGATCTCACAAACGTAAAGAAAATGTGTAGAACAAGCCCATTTTCAGTCTCCTTGAGTGAAACAACTACATTTTCTAGCATCACACAGATAGCCAGCCACTAACTGAAGAAAACTCTAGCTAGTTTTATAGAAAATAATAAATGATTTTTCAAGCCGCATCTACAAAGAAACAAGCAACTCTTTTTTACATATTCTTCTAAACCTAATTCCCCAAAGCTTACACAGTTTTTAGAGAATTAGCTGTTTTCAGTTCTTATACAGACAGATCTAAGTGGTTTGCTAACATACAAGTTTTACCACTTAACTTTTAATATATAAAATAGATGTAGTTAAACTGAAAAACTGCATATATGAAACAGAATCAAGAGACAATATATTCTTAGGAAAGCAATACCCCAAATAAAACATGAATTTCTGCGTTTCTGGAACTTTGCTGGTGTCTACTCCAGCTACAAAAGCCTGGATTCCTCTGAGAATCTGCATTCTCCAGCCAATCACCAGGGAAATACCATGTAAAAGTACTTACAACAATGGGAAATGATATGCTAAAGCTATCCCCTCACAAAATCAATACACCTGAATTAATAGATTCAAATGCTTTCAGACTCCAAGTTCTATTGGAAAAATGTAAACACTAGGATTAACTTCACCTCCATTTATGCACCCACCCCTTTGGCACTTATCCCTTCCTATTACTCCCATGGGAGCTGGATCCCATCAGGTCTCTGCAGGCTCAGCAGGGAAATGGCTTTGGACACAACATAAAGCAAGAAGCTCATCCCTACCTTAGAAATGGAAGTCTATTTAGAATTTAAGGACAACTGCAGGAGTGAGAACATTATCATTTGATATCTTTTTGAGTTCCTGACTAGTTACTACAATTCAAATCTCAACAATTCTGGTACCTGATCATTGTTCCAGAAGCACTGGAAGCCCATGTCCTCTTGGCTCACTGCACATGTGCCTCCTCTTCAAGTCACAGAAATCAAGCTGTCCTCAGAAGCTGCACCATGGGTAGTGCTTAAGACAGTTCGGCACTGAATTCTTCTCTCTAGAAAGAACAAGAAAGCTCAGAACCCTGCTGAAGTGTATTGAATAAAAGCTCCCAAGATCAACCCAACACATCCCTCAGCACATCGTGATGTGACGTGGCACATTCAAAGGCAGCAGAGAACATCCAAAATTAAGTATGCACTTTCAAAAAGGAGCTGGAGTAGAAAAATACCTCAACATATTTAGTACATCCTTTCTTAGCACAGGCACACACTCTATAATCCTTTTATGGTACAATTTTAATCTAAATTAAGCAAGTAGCTCCAGTAAAAGAGCTCAGAGCTTACCACATTACAAAATTACATCAGGATTGGATTAGACTGCAAAATAACATACTTCAAGGTAATCTATTAATGATATTTTACACTTAATTCTATACTCAAACTCCAACCTATTTGTTTTCCTAACTTTAAGCAAATTTTAAGAAAAGCATAACTTACTACAGTCCTCCTACATGCATACAACTCAAAATATTATTCCTGTTACCACCAGAAACATGCAAGGAGAGAGACAACTACTGAGACTCCCAGTCTTGAGCCCTCTGCACGTTTTTTCCATCCCCCTGCCCCTCTCCCCCCCAAAATTTAACAGGCTGCAAGACTTAGCCCAGCCCTTCATAAAATTAAAGAGAAATCAACACCTTGAACTTACAGAACTTTAATGCAGACACTGAACTACCTGGTCTAAAAAGAGTTTCTCTCTACCCACACGTATTGTTTTCCTCATATCCTTCAGACACAACCAAGCTACTACAACACTGAGGAGGAGGGTTAGAAATACCAGCACCAGTGTATTGCCAGAATTAGGAGACTTAAGACAAAAAATCCATGTGGCACCACCTGCCTCACATTCCTCACCACAATTCAGCTGCTCTCAAGGCCATTGCCAAAGTTTGGGAAGCTCACCTAATTTTTGGCTGAGGTAGAAGCAAAGGCCAATTGTATTTGAGAAAAACACTAAGTTTTGTGACCACTGTCATTTCGTTTTATATGTCTCCTTATCTTTGCTGGTTTGCCACAAAAACGGGACAGGTAATTCCACACTCCCAATAAGGAAAAGCTTGTGAGGTTCAGGTTAGGCTACATTCAGAGGCTCCATTTGGACAACAGGAGGATGATGATATAACAATATTCTCATATTGGAAAGTAGCAATTTGTAGCATCTATGGCCCCATACCAGGCCTGCATGAACTATTTTCATTACAGAACAATTTCCAAATAAAATTTAGAGTAAACATACATGTATCTTAACAGTTTTATTAGACAAACTTTAGAGTTTATACTTTATGTATTAAAATGTAAATATTTACCTTTGTTCACAAGAAAATTACATGGTTCTACTAAATCAATGACGAAAGCCTCAAAAGCCAGTAATTATAATTTTTACCACTATTTTAAGACAGGAAATGGTACATGTAAACATAAGGTTTATTTTCTTTCTTATGAAAATAAACGCTGTAAGCAATACTACAGATGAAACAATAGTAAGATTGAAAGAATCAAAACCACACAAAATAGGAAAAAATGCATTGGAATACCTTATCCTTGTAAGCACAAATCATATATGTGTATAAGAGACAGCAGAGAAAACTGGAGAGATGTTCATAAAAAACATGAGACACCAGATGCCCAAAGTTGGCCAAATGCCACTGGAATAAATTACTGCATTTCACATGAAAAAAATACAGCTTTTAAGGACAGGTTTGAAACCACCATTTGATAACTGGCAGCCGAGCTGGGAATGGTCAGTGCATAAATGGGAAGGGACTTGTGGGGCTGGACTTTCATCACCAAATGAGTTCAGGTCTTCATGAAGTTCCATTTGCCATCACCTTTTATAGCCTTCAATTGGCTTTTAACATTTGCTTCCCACATCCAACCTGAAAGATTTCATGCCTCTATAATCCAGTCCAGAAGCCAGCATGGTGTGTGGCAGCTCCAAGCTCTTAAGAATGCATGAAAGCACTTACTCAGTAAAAATTGCCCATGTGAACAGGACAGACCCAAAAGCCAAAGGTGTGCAACACAGATATCACCCCAGCTGGAAACAAGGGTACAAACACATCTGCTGATTTAATTTTCTTTTTATTTTTTAACATAATAATCATGGACCCAAAGAATTCTTTCAATCTCCTATCTCTCATCCTGCAGAAATACCAGCAGAATTCCGAGTATTTGGATTCAAGTGCAAACCACTGCAGATGGATTTTTGTTTAAAGAACTGAACAAACAAAACATTATTTGCTTCGAAATTCTTCTACTTGTGGTGAAAGCCGAGCTGTGCTGAAATCAATAGGACTGTTGGCATTGTTTTCAACTGAGCTGGAATTTCATTTCCTGTACCCCACTTCAGATCTGCTAAAAACCACTAGAACAGAGTTTTGACCTTTCACAACAACATCTACAGCTCAAAATAAAGTGTTTTGTGCAAAATAAATACTTACAGGGCAGGTTACATAAACAGCATGAAAGCAGCAGCTGTGGCTGGTTTCTTCAGAGAGAAAACTTTGCCCCCAGCCTGGCTGCTCTGGATTAATGATGTTCCTGTTCCAAACCCAGGCTCTGAAGCCTTGGGAAGTCCCTATTCCAGCTCAGCAAGGTAGGAAGGTTTGCTGTTATAACTGTTGGCTGATAACAGCTTATCAGAAAGTTTTCAAAGGTTAATCTCAGTACACATGCATGGCAAAAGTGCAAGGAAAGAACAAGGAAAATGTTGACTTAGTGCTCCCTCTCCTCCTGCCCCTGCAGCAAGGGACAGAACTCTCTCATACCCCATGACCTGCAGCAGTGCCAGCAAAGAAACTTCCACCAAAACTCCTGTTTGAACTGAAAACATCTGAGAGCCCCTTTATTTCAAAGGAGGTGCTTGCTTTGCCTGCTGCATTCCCACAGGCTGCCACACGGGATGGAAAAGCTAACCAAAATCTTTAAGTTTGATCCTTATATACAAGGCAGTTTTATTACTGCTGCCAAATTTATCACTGACACCAAGCTCCATGACAACTCACTGGAAAACAAAAACAAAACAAAATCTTCAGTTTAGGGCATGCTATGATTTTTATTTCTATCCCAACCAACCATGTTACTGAACTGTAAAGGGCTGATGCAACCTTAAACCAGAAAAAAAAAAAAAGCCCAGTTACAGACTCATTACTAATTCATCCTGGCTGAAGCTGCATACCAGCAGCTGCTGCCTCTCTCAATTAACAGCAAATATTGAACAGTATTGTCATTTAACGGTGTTTACTGCCTGCTGCCCTGTCCACTGCCACATTTTCAAATGCTCTGGCACAATTTAAAGCATCAACACTAATAAACAGAACTTAGTTTAACCCTTTATGTATCATAGCAGAAGTGTTTTACTCACTTCCTACATTCATTAGGTGCTTGGCAGAAGCTGAAGCCCAAGGATGCAAGGTACCACCAAAATGGGATTTGTAGTTCAGAGGCCCACAGGGTGCTTGGCTTCCACAAAGGGCTGAACACAAGTGTGAAAAATGATGGGAGTAACTCCAGCAGAACAGCTCTTTAGGAATTATTGCCAAAAAGTTGAAACAAAAGAGGAAAAAAAAGGAGGAGACCACACATTCAGCCTCTGCTGTTGAAAATTCAGAACAACAAAAACCCAAAACAAACTGGGTAAAAAAAAAATAAAAATAAAGATACAGCCATTCTTCAGGGAGAGCATACCAGTGCTGATTCCTGATGACCCCATCTCTGCACAGGGGAGTCAAAAGAGCCAGAATTTGGACCTCCCTTCCCACTACTGTGCCCACAGCTGCCCTTTCACCAGGCTGGGTTTGAAGTAAATGATTATACAAACTGCAGCCAGAGCAAGCAACTGCAAGTGCAGCACTTCCACACTGCCTCCGCAGGCACTTCTGTGCCCCACTTGCTCCATGGTGGAGCATGGTGGCTGGAAGCCACTTCTGTATAAGGGACTGTACAGATTCTACATTTCATTTCCACACCGTGTTCCCAGCACATCAGCAGGAGGGAACATCTCCAGGCTCTCCTATGATCCCACTGCCAGCTGGACCAGGGCAAACACGTGGATACCAAGGACCTGGAGAAGGGGGGGATGCTGGGCCAGCCCAACTCACCTTCAAAGTGCACACTGGCAGTTTAGATACTATGGGAAAAGATCAAGCAGCTTCTGTACTGCATTTAGAATGTACAAGATCGGATAATGTCACTCCAGCTGATCCTGAAATTGGGGAATTCAGTTATTTCTGAGGTAGCTGGACCTTTTTTCTACCCCTCCTGCAGAGGGAGCAAAGGCTCAAGGAGTGGTGCTCTGAGGGCTTGTCAAATACATGAGGGAATGGCTTGGAAAACTGGGCAGGTAAATGTAGGCCCAGGCTCTGGCCAGGGCTCTCTGTGAACTTTTCTCAGGTTAGCACCTGGCTGCAAGTCCCCTCATTTTCTCAGGTCCCTCTGCTTGTATCCTGTGCAACTCCAACAGCCAGCCTGGTTTGCTGGGAGGATTCCTTTCCTCTAGGTCCCCCCATCACCTTTGTGCCCATGGGGTCTGAGGTGCTCAGATATATCAGGTGATATGACTAATACCTGCCATCTGCTCCTTGCTACCTTCCCTCTCCTTTCCTGAAGAGGAGTCAGCACTAAAGTGCTTGTTCTACTCAATCTATTTTAGGAGCGTGGGCTTTCAGCATCCATGCAACACTGCTTTAAGCTAGAAGACTTAAATCAAATAAGCAGACCATGCTCTGGCAGGGAAAATTGAGCACTAGGTCCTGTAAAAGTCTCTGGACCCTTTTTTTGCAAAAGTTATCTTCACTCCAGTGTGCCCAAGGAACAGAACTATTGCCCAGGTTTCACTCCAGACCACAAAGGAGGGGCAGATGAGATCCAGGCCTTGGAAAGTATCCACTGCTCTCCATGGAGACCAAGTCAGCCAACACAGCTTGGAGCATCAACAGGCAATGTGCTGCAGCATTGGGTAATTCCCTGCTTCCAGGAGTGAGGAGCTCCTACCCAA